GGTAAACGAGGCCACAGAGCGACTTTGGAGTGTTTGGTTTGGGCACAGAGGACTAGCCTGCCAAAAGTAACCATCTTCAGACTTTAGAAGACAGAGACACTATCAAACTCTTGGACAGTTTTCTTACTGCCCAAATAGATGCCCTATAGTTTCTGTGCATAAGAAATGGAAGAAGAATCCACGATGTTGCCCACTGGTTTTGGATTCTGCGATTTGAATGTTGAATGTTTTATGTTTTGTCCACTGCTCAGGTGGTTTGCTTCAGCTGGATGTGACCATGTTTGGATGAGAGCGTGTTATCACACAGATCCAGCAAGTAACAGACTAATAAAATATTAGACTTTACCAAAACTGAAGCACAAACTTCTTAAACACCAGGATATATGATTTGTTAGATAATTCATTAAAAATACTCCAAAAGGCACCAACAGGACAAACACAGTGGAGCGCTCCGGTTCTTTCACTGGATTTACTGGAGCTGAGGCCAAACATAGAAATGATTAAAACACATTCCAGTTAAATCAGCTGTAGAGTTCTTATCAAGGGGAAAACTATCCATAGACACCAAAAATGGGTTTGTAGCAGGCTGTAAACATGATTAGTTCTACTGTAAAATCGGTCATTTGAACCTGGGAGTCTGTGCAGAATGACTCAGCTGTGGAGCAGGCCTCTAGTGGACATTAGGGGAACTACAACTTCTGATCTCTCGAGATTGGCTTTTTGCTCCGTAGGTTGATGCTTGGTGGTGAGACTTTTTTTCACAACTCAAAATTGTGAGTCAAGCAACATCTATTTTATCTTTTTTTCCCACTGTTTGTGTTTATACACCACTCTCTGTGTCTTTTGTCCTCTGCACAATCCCATCCAAAAACTTCTTTAACCTCTTTGTTTCAGGTTTTTTGAGTATATCTACTTGTATCAGAGCATGGTAATGTTCCAGATTGACCAGAAGACGAAGGAATGCTCAAAGATCGCTCTGACTGAAGCCTGGGATCCCTTCGACGTCCCTGATAACTCCACCTTTGAGGACCAATACTTCATCGGCGGCCCCGGGGACAGCATTGAGGTTCAGGAGTGGTCAGATAGGAAGCCGGCACGCAAGCGTAAGTCTGAGATTTTTATGCTTTCAAACAGGCCATAGTGAGCGCTGCAGAGTTAGGTCAGTGTTAGCCTAAATTCAGCACGTCCTGCAGCTGCTTTATAATAAGAATAAGCCCTTTCACTGTGGTTCTTTCTTTCATGTCTGGCAAGTTTTATTGAATTATGAGAGTGGCTGTAGCTTCTAAATGATTTCTTTATATTTATCTAGGAAAATCTAATAAACAGTATATATGTGTATAAGGAGTTGAAAGGATGGCTTGACAGTCAATATGTGGTGTGACCACCTTTATTCTTCAACACAGCCTGAACTCTCTGAACTCTCTTAGGCAACTTTCTTGTAATTTCTTAAATAATCTTCAGCAAAACTTCTCCAGACGTCTTGAAGGACATTCAAAGCTTTTCTGTGGACGTCGGCTGCTTTTTGTTCCATTCTCTGTCACATTGCTTTAATAATATTAAGGTTCAGGCTCTGTGGAGGCCAGTCCATGACTGAAAGTGTTTTTTTCTATCCAGATATGCTTTTATTGGCAGTGTGTTTCATCACTGTCATGCTGAAAATAAAGCCGTTCCCAGTCAGATGCTTCCTACATCCAAAATCTGACTGCACTTTTCTTGGTACAGTTTTAGATTAGGCACTGGAGCCATGGTGGTGGAGATGAGGTAAGAGTGGTTGGTCCAAAATTTGGGAAGATTGTTTTTATTGGTTTGAGAGAGGTTACTACAAAACTTTCTCCAATGATTCGCCAATACAGCCACAACTCCCACTACCCACTGTGAGAAAACGTTTGGTTTTTGTGTGCTGCTTCTCAAAAGGCACCGAGGCAGAGCTGGCACCTCATCTGAAATCTGCTATTTCAGTAACTTGTCCTCGTCTCTCCACCAGATGAGACCTGGGTGGGCGTTTACACCATGAAGGACTGCTACCCAGTGCAGGAGACCTACACGAGGAACAGCAGTGTCACCACCTCCACCCGCTTCTTCAGCCTGGAGCTGGGAATCAGCGACCCCAACGTTTTCACCCCACCGAGCACATGCCAGTCAGCCCGGCCTGAGAGGATGGTCGACCTCGAGTGCTGAGACCTCATCAGATCTCACCTTTGACCTTAAAAGCTAAACTGCAGTTTAAGTCTGAAACC